ATTCCTGCTCCAGACACACAAAACATCCCTGATGCCAGCACACACCCGTTCCCACCAAGGCGCGCCACGTCCTCTGCAAAATCAAAACCCTGTGATACCGCCAGGCTGTGCAGACGCAAGCCACAGTCCCCCCTCTGCTTCACCCAGCAGATAAAAAATCAGAAAATGCCAACGCAAACTTAGGATAGAGACCTTTTTTTATTTTTTGAATTGTCACTGCTCAGAATATCCACAACCCTGTTTAACGGTTCTCCCCAAGGGGCTGGTCCGCATTCTCCAGACGTACTCACAACCCCGCAAAACCTCCAACGGTCACCAGAGATAGGTTACATGACCAAAACCTGTGTTGAAGTATTGTGTCGCTTCAGAACGGGGCCAGACGTTCCAGATCTTATGAGCTAACTGAAACCTGTCTGCCACCTGCTCTTAGTATGTAAGGAATTACAGCTACCGTGAAAACAAAGCAAGTCAGAAAATAAACTTTTAAATTCCTCCAGGGCTCCCACGGTGATAGTGTATCCTAATGATTTATTGTTTAAACAACTCATTTGAAACATCGGCTCAGACGACGCACAGATCCGAGCCCTCCTTGGTGATAGCTTGGGCTCATAATGAAGGTCACCGCCCGCACCCGCTGACCACGTCCACAGGCAGACCCCCTTGGCGAGCCACAGGGGGTGCCCCTTTCTTCCCGACCCCCCACACCCCTGCCAAATCCCTCTTTCTCCCGTGTCTCCCAATCCCACATCCGCTCTTCGTCCCCTCTTCCCAGGCCCGCAGGCCCCGCCTCTACCTGGGGACCAACTCTTTGCTGCCAAACATTCGGCTGGCTGAGCCCAGACTGTCCCCCTCTCCCGCTCACCTCTAGCCCCAGAGCAGGCCAGCTGGGTTCCCACACCGGCTCCACCACCGACCTGGGCGGGCTTCTAAGTAACACCCAGAGGAGCAGCCCGTGTCCGGGAGCAGCGGCCAAGATCAAACGCGGCCGTGCTTTGCAAAACGCTCCCACACACGGCGCGCACACAGCCTGACTATTACGCAGGAGACAGAAAAGAGACCCCAAGGGAAGTGACTGCAGCCATATCACAGGGTGACTCGGACCCATCCGGCAATTTCCAGCGGTCCCACCCGGGAACTAATTGGCACATGGGATGGGCAGTGACCCTTGATCTTCCCAGACAGGTGTGTGGCTGCTGGCAGAGCATCACAGATGATGATTCAGATAACCCCAGACACTAGGTTTTAATAGCACATCTCAGGAGCCAGCACGTGCTGAAGAAAGCGCCAGGAAGCCCTGGTCTTAACCGTGAAGCCCAGGCCTGCTCCGAGCAAAAGTGCTGAGGGACGCAGTGCCGTGCGCCTCCTACACCCTTGGCCTTGGCCGGGTGGGGGTCCCCGGACTCACAGCTTCTCACCATCCAACAGGAGGGCACAATGCCCAAAGCACTGTCCACACCCTGCCCGAATGCGCCCCGGCGTGCCGGGCGGGCCCCTGGCAGGTTCCGGCAGCTCCCCAGGTGGCCCAGCAGGAGCCTCGACGACCACTCACCAGAGACGGCCACCTCCATGAGCGCCTCCAGCGGCCGGTTGTTGTCCAGGTCCCGGCTGAGCTGCAGCTCGCCGGTGGCGGGGTCCAGGAGCAGCAGCTGCAGCTCGTTGCCCTGCAGGAAGGTGTAGCTGAGGCTGTCGGAGAGGTCTGGGTCGTGGGCCGGGACGCGGCCGATCACGCCGGCGGGGAAGCTGCTGGACTTGTTGGTGACGTAGTTGTTGAAGAGGATCTGGAAGTCCGGCAGCACGGGCGGGTTGTCGTTCTGGTCCAGGAGGCGGACGTGCACCGTGGCGCGGCTGACCAGGGGCGCAGATGTGGCCTGCACCAGCAGCATGTACTCCCGCTGGACCTCGAAGTCCAGCTCCACCAGTGCTCGCAGGTCCCCGCTCAGCAGGTCCAGCTGGAAGACCTCGGGCACGTTGCCCTCCACGATCTGATACATGATCTGGGCGTTGGGGCCTTCGTCAGGGTCGTTGGCGCGAATCCTCGCCACCACGGACCCCACCGGGCTGTTCTCCTCCACGAACAGCTCCAGCTCGTCCCTCTCAAACACTGGGGGGTTGTCATTGATGTCCAAAACGGTCACCTGGATGTCCACCGAGGCGCTGAGGGGCGCTGGGCTCCCCCGGTCCACGGCCAGGGCCCGAAGGTTGTACACGGCCACGTTCTCTCGGTCCAGCCTGCGCTGGGTGCGGATCACGCCCGACGTGGGCTCAACGTAGAAGTCCCCATCGCCATCGTCCCCACCCTGGAAAGTGTAGAGCAGGCGGCCGTTGGGGCCGGAGTCCCGGTCGGTGGCAGAGACCTGGAGGACGCTGGTGGCCGCTGGCGCGTCCTCGAAGACGGAGCCCTGGTAGAAATCCCGCAGGAACCGCGGGGCGTTGTCGTTGGCATCCAGGATGAGGATCTCCAGGGAGGTGGTGTCGGACTTCTGAGGGATGCCGTTGTCCCGGGCAGTGATCGCCAGCGTGTAGGCGGCCTGGTCCTCATAGTCCAGCTCTGTCATGGTGTAGACGGTGCCCGAGTCCGGGTCGATGCGGAACTGCGGCACGGGGTCCTCCAGCACGTAAGTGATTCGCGCGTTCTCGCCCGTGTCCTCGTCGCTGGCGCTGATGGTGGCAATGGAGGTGCCCAGGGGCCGGTCCTCGCTGACGCTCACCGTATAGTGGGAGCTCTGGAAGACCGGCCGGTGCGTGTTGGCGTCAGTGACGTTGATGAAGACCTGAGCCGTGTGGGAGCGCGTCCCGTCGGACGCCGTCACCGCCAGCACGTACTGCCGCTCCTGCTTGTAGTCCAGCGGCAGCGCCAGGGTGATGAGGCCGCCGCCGCTCTGGCTGCTGAGGGCGAAGCGGTTGCGCGTGTTGCCACCGGTGAGCTGATAGGTGATCACACTGTTGGCGTCGCGGTCGTGGGCCCGTAGGGTCAGCACGCTGCTCCCCACCGCCGCGTCCTCGTTGAGGCGCAGCTCGTACACCGGCTGCGTGAAGATGGGGTCGTTGTCGTTAACGTCCAGCACCGTGATGGACACACTGGCCGAGGAGCTCATGGGCGGCGAGCCGTGGTCCACCGCCTCCACCCCGAAACTGTAGTGCTCCACCTGCTCGCGGTCCAGCTCTGCGCACACGGTGATCCAGCCCGAGCTGTTGTGGATCTGGAAAGGGAAGCTGGCGGCCGAGGCGGGGTCCTCCTGGGACCCGGCACCCGTACCCCCCACGGAGGCCGCCCCCGTGTCCACCAGGTGATAGCGCAGGCGCGAATTCTCCCCGGCGTCCGCGTCCACCGCCTGGATGTGCAGCACGGAGTGACCCAGGGGGACGTTCTCCAGCACAGCCGCCTGGAAGGGGCTGCTCACGAATAGCGGGGCGTTGTCGTTCACGTCCAGCACCTGCACGGAGACCAGCCCCGACGAGTTGATGAGCGGAGGCCGGCCCGCGTCCTGGGCCTTGATGCGCAGCGTGTACTCCCGGATGGCCTCGAAGTCCAGCGGGTTGATGACGTCCAGGCTCCCGCTCAGCGAATGCAAGTAGAACTGCCCCTTGAGGTTCCCGCTGACGATGCTGTAGTGGATGGCCGCGTTCTGGCCTTGGTCCCGATCCGTGGCCTGCACGCGCAGCACGGCTGTGTTGACCGCCACGTCCTCGGGCACCTGAACCACATAGCGCTTCTCGCTGAACTGGGGGTAGTTGTCGTTTTCGTCCTCCACCACGATGTGCACGGTGGCCGTGGCGCTCAGCGGGCCCGGGTTGCGACCTTGGTCATTGGCCTCCACCAGCAGCTGGTACGCGGCCGCCTCCTCCCGGTCCACCGCCGCCCGCGTGCGCACCACGCCCGAGCGCGCGTCAATCTCGAAGACGCCGCCTGCGCCCTCCAGCAGGCGGTAGCGCATATTGGCGTTAGAGGGCGCGTCGCCATCGGTGGCGCGAATGGTCAGCACCTCGTAGCCCACCTCGAGGTTCTCACGCACACGCTCCCGGTACTCGGACTGCTCGAAGACCGGACTGTGGTCGTTGGTGTCACTGACTGTGACCGTGAGGTAGGTGGCGGCCGAGCGCCGCGGCGAGCCGTGGTCCACGGCGCTCACCTTGAGCACGTGCGTGTCCTTGGTCTCGCGGTCCAGCGGGCGGGCGGTGCTCACCGTTCCAGAGTCGGTATCGATGAGGAAGAAGCCATTGGAGCGCTCGTCGAACAGCGCCTCCATCTGGTAGCTCAGGCGCCCCGCCTCGCCCTCGTCCGGGTCGTGCGCGCGCAGCTCGATGACCGCGGTGCCGGCCGGCTCGTTCTCGGGCACCGACACCTGGTAGCTGGGCAGCGGGAACTGTGGG